CTTGTCTACAAACCGCAGGGCTTGGCGATTGAAAACTTCCACGAAATCTTCCAAGATTTTAAAATGGAAGGTTGGGGTCAGGAGCCGCCGGCGTGATATCCACTTTTGACCTGGAAATTTGATTGATACTAAATGTTTGTTGGAGTTGGCAGGAGTTCCTAAAAACATTATGCGGTACAGTAATAGAGAATGACTCGATTTAGGAATAATTTATCTATTACAGTTGGTTTGTAGAAAATAAGAACGAGATTTCATGTGCTGAAAAAGAGGTGATACATGTCACTGTGTGTAATGAAGTTTAATGCAAATTTCCACTACTTGCTGCGAGACCACACAGATTAAGTAGGACCGGCCCTGATGTGGACGCTGAATTGGTTATAGCTGTCAGATCCCGTCTTGCATACTGGTTCCTTTCTTATCGGATTTTGTCTGAGTTGCCAGGGTGAGTTGCGTGCGATAGTGGTGAAATTTAAATATGACTACATTGTGAAATATTGTGATTTGTTTGATTATATTGATTTGTTCTTTGTAAGTATTTACTTTTGGTTTCTGTTGTAGGATCGTGCGTTATTCTCAGATCTCCATGCTCTAGCTCTCTCCTCGTATTTTGCTCACCTCGCACTTTAGCTTCCATCGCATTCAATTTGATAGTTCGTTTAATTCATATGCCGCACCTCTGTAACATCGTTAGTTTGATTTGTTTCGTTTCAATTTGCCGTTTATCTCTAATAAATTTAAGAAAGTTTCTTCGAGTTAACTATCCGCTCGGTCCAAGCTTTTGCTGATCAGGCCGATAGGGAAGTTGCATTTAATTTCCGGTCATTGGTGGACGTGACAATTAAACCATTCGAACTTCTGAGGTGACGCGATTAATTGGCTTTTCGGGGATTCAAGATTAGTTCGTCTCACTGTGTAAATTATGAAGAAAATTCAGATTTAAATTGAATAGACCCGCAACCGTTCTTCATAGAGTACAGGAAAATTTTCGTACCGCACTATTACAGACTAAGATAATCGAAGTTACGTACGCATTTCAGTTATGTTGACCAAACATCACTTTGGTCTTGATGGTGTAATAAATACTACACATATAACAAAAATATATAAGTGTGCTACCTCACTGGAATACTTATCTATGAAAAGTACATTTTAGGACCTTAGTAATGACATTCAGAGAGTTAATTCTTCAGATCATTTGAATGTTGTGTTGTGCAATATAGTTTACCTGTAGAGGTAAGAAGGCCGGTGCCGATCCACGGGTAGAAGAATACGTAGTCGTCGCTCTTGTCGATCAGGACGTTGCTGCCCAGCAGCTCCTGGTGATGACGCACAAAGTTATACGCAACGACGTATAACTTTGTAACTTATAACTAAACGACGCACAAAGTTATATGAGCGTTAAAATTTTTAAGCAATACTGCATAATGTTAAGTGCAACAGCAGCCCCTGGTGATGACGAACAACGCACAAAGTTCTATGACCGTTAAAATTTTTGAGCAATACTGCATAATTTTTAGTTCAACCGGATGTCGGTAACAGTGCCTGGTTCCACAAGACTATTGCAATTTCAATACACAGGATGTGATGAAGCAATGGAATTATCTTGAAACAAAGGGAATAATGTAAAAATTCTGGTCTGCTTCATGAAACTAATGTTGTTTATAAATTCTCATGTAATAAAGAAGGTTGTAGACTTCTTCAAAACATAAACTACATTGGTCTTACTGGTACGATCATAGTCCGACGGCTCACATGCCACCTTATACAATCTGGAGGACCTAATGAAGAACCACATGCGGGAGGCTCACAATGAGACCATCACCCGAGCGACATTGGAGGCCTGTACCAGCATAGTTATGCGGTGCCCCGACCCATCGAGACTGGCGATAGCTGATGCCCTCATTATCAAGAGTGAGTCTCCAGCCATCAACCTCCAAACTACAGGATTCGTCCGGATGCAGAAATTATTTTCAGAGTAATTTAAAGCTAATATTTTAAATTTTATTCACTATACCATTGATATGTACTATTGTCATTTCCAAAATTCAATTTCAAGTGTTGTAAAACCTTCGCCAGATTGATAATGAAAATTGTATTTTCGAAACGTCGCAATCCATTAAAATGACATTCGGAAATTCGCTTTTTGATCTGCCGGCGCCAGCAAGAAATTTTGATCGACTAATTGAAAAAAACGAACAATAAGATTATTTATAAAAAGCATGCTCTGGACTTCAATCAAACTTGCATAAAATAAAAGCTTCTGCCGAACTACATCAAATTTATACTTATACTGATACATATACTTATACTTAAGCAAATTTTGTGAAAGACCAAAGAATTAGTTTTATTTATTAGCTTCTTGTTAGTTTTTTCAATAAGTCGTACAAAATTCTTCGTAGGTGTTGGAAGATTGAAAATTAAATTACCGATAGACATTTTTAATATTGAACGACGTTTCGAATGTACAACATTCATTTTCAAGTTAAAGAGGGATTCAGTGACGAAATTTGGGTTGACATATGTACGAAATCAAGTAAATTGGATACCATTCAAATAATACGTGATACTACCTACAGGAAGATTTTACAAGCGCAAAAACTACTCGGAAAACAATCTCAAAGTTCTGACGAAGCCGGCGGTTTGAAGGTTGATAGCTGGAGTCCACTGCTTAATGATGAGGGCCTCTGCTATAGCCAGTCGTATAGGATCGGGGCATCGCATAACGAACGATACTGGTGCATTTCTCCAGTATCGGGCGAGTGATGGTCTTGTTGTGGGCCTCCTTAAAGTGATTCCTTGGTCCTCCGGACTGAAGGTGGCAGGTGAGACGTCGGCTTAGAGTCGTGGTTGTGAGCCCGTATAGACGTCTGGTCTTCAACAAAACTTCTTTAATAGAAGAAATTCTGCCAGCCTATACTAATATATATTTAGTATCGAAAGGCAGAATAAGCTTGTTTCAACACGGGTGGTTAATGGCCAAAGAATTCGTCAATTTAAATTTTCAGGGTCGAAAATATTCTTCAGATGACATTAGTTGATCAAAATGCAGGTTCAAGGGAATAATATCAATTTATTAACGACGTTTCGAATGTAACAACATTCATTTTCAAGTTACAGGAAGCATTGAATACAGAAATTTTGATGGAAATAAGTACATGATACAAGTAAATAGGATACAACATGAAAATTTGGAACCATGAAAATAATTCCAAAACAATCTCAAAGCTTAGAAATCAGGTAGTTATGAGATGGATAGATGGAGTCCAATCCGCAGAAAAGGGCTTCAGCTATCGTCGGTCGGATTATGTCGGGCCACCGCAAGATGACGATGCTGGTGGGTTCCTCTAATGCGAGTGACGCCGTCGCCGTACTTGGTGAAGTTCACGATAGTTTTAAATAAATCTGCACGAATATATCATACAGTTGTAATATTAAATAAAAACATACATTTGTTCCAGGTCAAAAAGTTAAAACAACAGATTCGATTAATTTATAATCGTAAACAGAAATTTATCAATGAATAACAAAAGGTATATATGAAATATACTTCGAAGATGATTGAACTACTCGTAAATAGTAAATATTAATTCAGTGCATCAAAAGTAAAATGAAAATGCACAAGTTCGTGGCATCAGAAATGCAGTGTTTGAAAGAAGTGACGAGTTTGAGAAGTTATGACGAGTTTGAGGTATGTGACGAGTATGAGGTATCTGACTAGTATAAGGCATCAGTCTAAGTATCAGAAGCTAGATAATCATTGATTATTCCTCACGTTCATGGGATCCTAAGAGATACAAGGCGTTGCCCAGAATTGGCAGAGAAGGTGGGCCTGGTATGCGCTCCATCAGCCTCACCTGCAAGCATTCAAACCACATTAAAATTTCATCAATCGATATTTTTCTATTATCAACTATTTGATAGGATAGGAGTTCAGGAATAATTACAATGAATAAAGGTATAGGGCAGAAAATGTAGCTCGCTAGGGTAAAAACCGAGTGACGCGGCGTTGCGGGTTGCGAAGTATTTAAGCAGCACGGCGCACTGCGGGAGTCAGCGTTGCCAGATGGTATATTTCTATACCAGATTTCACAAATCTGGTATTTTCAGAAGGTGTCTGGTATGAACATTTTAGATCTGGTATATATGCCTAAATCTGGTATTTTTCTGGTACTTTCTGACTTACAGCAAATTTACTGCATTAAGTTCCACCTCTGAAGTTTGAATTTCCTCCATTGTAGGCGTGGATTATATAGATTACCATCAGAGTGGCGCGATTAGAGCTTTCCCGCCATTTTTGGAACCTCAAGTTCCAAAAATGGCTCGAACCGCTTGATGAAATAACCCCAATCTAATTGTTAACATTTAACAAAAGTGCTTAGTGCAATATGAACACGAGAGCGATGATCCTCGATTGATTACTGATCAGTGATGATATGGCCTAGGACGAGTGAGGTTGTCGAACCGATCTCTGCGACGCAAGCTCCGCCATTTTTGTTTGGTGGTTTGAATTATAGAGTGCCACTTATCGGAGTGCCACTTGAATTCGGGGGTGCCATACAATATTTCACTGATCTTGAAAATCCTCATCCATTCATAGAACTGGCTGCCTACTGCACCACGTGTCTACTTTGACCAGGTCTCCAATGCATTCGTGGAGTGAATGTTTTCACAAGAAACCTATGTGAAAAACAAGTAACGAAATAAAATTTCAAGTAAGGTACTGCAGTCCCTTATTCGGACCAAAAGCTATCTGCTCAGCCGTAACAAGTGATCAAACCCGAAATGTTAGATTAATGCAATATGCAAGCATGTATGAAAATGGAAGATGACCTGTAAGCAAGTATGAAAATGGAAGATGATCTGTTTCCGTGGCTTGCTAATGTTGAGCGAAGGGGAAGAAGTGCCACACTGAAAAATGCACAGTACATAAAATACTTTTTAGCGCATTTTCTCATTTATGAAAAAAATGCACTATTGTGCTCACCATGTTCGTCTGTCCGTCCGTCTGTCCGTCCGTCTATCCGTCCGTGACCACGTTTCCGTCGACGAGAAAATGCGCTCTCTGTCAGTCACTGCAGTGAGTACTGAGATTTATATTTTTTTCTTTTTCTAACCAACGTTTCTGACGAATAGTTTCATTAAATTTGGAGGTATTAGTCAGTTTTTGAACAATAGAATTTCTGGTATATTTCTGGTATTTTGAGCTAGGCAATCTGGTAATTATCGCAGAGAAAAAACCTGGCAACACTGTCGACGGCCCAGCTCAGTTCATCGCCAACCACCACCAGACGAAGACGCCTTTCTCGCATTCCCTTCTCTTCGTCTACGGATTACTCTGCAGTTGTTGGTTCGATCGGGTGATGAAGATGGAGACCGGCTAGCTTCTCTACGGACGACCCCGTCAGTGAGGTGGCACTCCGTGGACGGTGGACCCGCGTGCACCCGACGACGAACGTCGGGCTGATTACGTCTCCTGCTGATCCCTTCACATCGTCGGCGGGACTCGACAAAAGCATATATACGGCGAGACTCTATAAAAGAGGTGGGTCGCAGTGCACTGTTTGGAGTGACATGCCGGTCGGCCCTCTACTTTAGGTTTCATAAGTCTATGCTTACACGTTGTGATCACTTATGCTTTTACCACTCGTGAACTTTAAAAAGGTGATTGAAGGTGAAATAAGTACACACAATGGGTATAAATATCGATTTTAAACCGTATCTACGATACTTTCTGTATGAACTTATGTCGTGTCCAAATTTCAATTTTAAGCGTTGTAATAACTCTTTACTTGCTTGATCATGAATATTGATATATTCGAAACGTCGCATTCCAATAAAATATCATTTGGTTATCTGCATTTTGATCTCAAAGCACCTGCAAAAAATTTCTTTCGGCTTATCGAAAAAAAAAACAATAAGAAATTTGTTAATAAAAATACGCTCTGGTCTTCAATCAAATCTGTGTAAATGAAAAACTTCTGCCTAACTACGTACACTAACAATGGGTATAGTAGATACTGATCGAAATGAAACGTGAGATTACTCTGAAAACAATTTGAACGTCCTGACAAAACCCGGTGGCTTGTAAAGGCCCGTTTCCACTATGACACTCTGCGAGACTGACGATTAAAAAACTGGCTTTTTCAGTCCGGACTGAGGCAGTCCGGACCATCGAGACTGGAGTGACGGGGAGTCAAGCGCTGTTCAATCTTTTACTGGACTTGCGTGATGGGCATTGGGATTTGGGCCGGGAGTCAGTCGAGGTCTGAGCGAGGTCTTGGACGGATGTCTATCGAGTAAACTGGTAAATAGACGCCCGGCGAATTTGTGATGGTACACAGTGTTGTTTGAGGTGCACAGTGTTCAAAAACAACCGCGACGATTGAGACGAACACCCAGAATTAACGGCCCGGAAACTACAACGCGAACCAAATTCTGCGTATCACCTGCTGATGTAGATTTGTCATCTAAGCCAAAATCTACGAATTACCTGCTAACAAAGATTTTTACGAGGCCAAGAAGTACGAGTATCTACGGAAAATAAATACCTACGAAACTCCCCGAACCCAAGCCAATACGGCCACCACGAGAGTGCGACAGGACCGCCGCCGAGCAATCTTACATCACAACGATAGCCATCACCCGAGTACAACGCATTCAAAGGAACGCGGACTGAAGAATTCATAGAAGCCAAGCTCTAGGAACTCCGAGGATATTACGTGAGTGAATCTCGCCCGGGGAACAACGTCAGGGTGACCCAGTGGTTAAATTTCAGAGTACTAAGATTGGCGCAGAGAGGCGAGGGTTCGATCCCAGCTCTGTGCGCCAGTTTCTGGTCAGCATCGGCGAGGAGGCCGGGCGGTTAAGCACAGCAAAAATGGAAGCAGTGAGTTGCGAAGTTCGAGCCCGCAATCAAGCTGTGAATGTTCTGCGATGTTAAGAATCGGCGACAGGCCTACGGCCTAATTAACGCTGAAACCGCTATTATTATTATTATTATTAAATGTCCAGACCTCGTACCGCAGCTTCGCAGTCAGCTTTCCAGTGGATTGCCCTCTTCGACAATTTCCGGTGATGTACTCGTTTCAGGATTTGAGCTAGGTAGTGCTTCATTTTAATTAGACACACATTTGTGCTTGAGATGTGTGTCTAATTATTAGGTTGGATCTGTGTCCTCATCATAATCACCGTGTCACAGCTCTGTATTAGGATAGTTTATTTTTTTAACATAGGAAGTTTTGAGATATTAATTTGTTGTCGTTTTTCCTTCTTGTTAATTCGTGCTACCATCTTGTGAGAACCTACTTCGCGCCTATTAGACCGCTGTGGCTTAACAACCTGACATTGGATATTGAGAATTTAACGTAACGTAAACCCTGAGGGGAGGAGGTTATATTTTCTGATTGATCACCACGAGAAGTACGTTGTCCGAAATTAAACTAAATAGGAAAAAGAAGCATCAAGAATTTTAATAAAATAGGACCAATCAATTGGCTTTAGTCTATTCATATTATTGTCTATTATTCTATATTTTTCTATTATCAATTACTATTCCTAATTATTGCATTCTCTAAAACGGTCAACAGAATGATTTCAGTGTCTCTTTAAACAGTCGCGTCTGCACTTTGTCAGATGAGGCCATCTGACACTATAACGTCAAGCAATCTTCCCTGATTAGTCCTTTGAGCATTAGGATTAATTCGCGTATAATCCTTTAGGATAATATTTCCGTATGTGGCTGCATTAGGTACATTATTGCTGATGGAATCCATACTAATGGGAGGTGATCAACTAACTTGAATCCGAGAATTTTATTTCACTGAAAAGCCACACTCACATTTACAGCTGTACGTAGCTCCTGAAAATACGGGGTAAAGCAGGTAACATTCTTAATAAAAATAACGACATTTTGAAGGAAGCGACACAAATATTTTTACAAGCATAATGAGGAAGTGTCTCTTGTGATTTAAAAGTATATACAAATTCTTACAACAAGTATTTCCAACTTCTATAAGGTTACTCCCCCACTTACGGCAGAAGACAATGTTACCTCCATTAGTCAACATTTTCAGTCAACTTGAAGTAATTCTTTATTTAAAATGACTAGAGTTCCGCGATACGCAGCTTTAGCTCGAACATTATTTTTGAGATATCCTGGATTAAGGTTTGCAATTTTGTCCGCTTTTTGAGGTTCTGGAATTTCGACAAATGAGACCGAGGAAAACAGTCGAATAAAGAATCTTGATCAGCTGTCAAATTTATTTAGTGTTCATTTGACTTTATTGCGTGGAATCAGTCAAGAATCGGCAAAAGATTTAAGCTCTTACTGATACATTGACCGTTATCCTATCTATGACAATTTTGCCTAATGGCTTGGTGGTGCCTATACAGCTACCATGCAGTAGAGAGAGGGTCAAAATGGGGACACTCATCATCCAGCCTAACGCTGGTGCATGAGTAGTTGAGTACTGAGTAGTGAGAACAATTTATATTGGCAAGCTGTGCTTGCAGTGAGTATGTAGACATTGCAAATTGGGAACACAATGTTTAAGAAAATAAAATAGGGGAAATCTTGATTATGTAACTTACAATATGAGAATATGACGATACTGCCAGTAGGTATTGTGAATTAAAATTGTCTCTATATGTCTGCTGGTAATCACAAAATTAACAATAATAAACTCTAGCCCAGCAGCCTGATTAGAAATTTTCCAGTTGATATTAACCATCTGATAGTTTCCCATCAAACTCTACATTGAACTATCTGCAGGCAAAATACTTTTCTTGTTAATTCGTCATGAGATAGCAAGTTTTTATTTTCAAAACGTAAGTTAAGAATTATAAATCTGACGAATTTATCAAGTGCCATAATATCGAGACGAAACGTCAACTTTACTCTAATTCTACATAAATGAAAAAATGTGACAATGACAATGCTTTTTAAACCTTGTTTTGTACATGCCGTTTCAAGGTTTGTAAAAAATGTGAGGAGCAACATAATGAGACATTTAACATTTTTCCACTCATGCTGACTTTGCTGTATATGGAATGTATAATTACTTCACATAATATTTATGGGTACGTACAAATTTGTGTGAATTTGTAGCAAGCAGGGAAATATGATTCTGGCCTACCATGCATCTATTACATATAGTTGCATTCATTCATATATTGATCAGATGTGTGGGAGATGCTCGATAACTTGATGACTGTTTTCAGGATTCTTTGTCATATATCTTGGTGGTCGGTACACGGACCCTATAGCAGCAGTTACTGAGGGACCATTCATAACCAAGGTCACCCCTGAGCAAACCATGGTCATTCTGTATCAAATGATGCAAGATAACGAATGTACTCAAACCTAATGAAAATATGTTGTTGTACTTATTAGTAACACGGTGATAAGAGATACCTGACGAAAACGTTGATGGAGTGCTACGATTCAGAGCGCCAAAAGAGGAGTCAACGGGAACATTAGGGGAAATGAATATATAATGAATAATATATATCAACGAATCCGTTAAAGTATTAATGAAGTGCTCAGCCATTATTGAGTTTTTGAAACGGATAAAGACGAATCTCAACTGTATATTGAAATGTACAATGCAACAAGCATGTTAATATTGTCTCAAGTTGACTTGTTATTATGAGTAAGTTAAACGTAGGTAGATAATATCTCAGTAAACGCCTAAAAATGCACATACATATGCTTTATGTTCAACAGATTTACGAAGGTTATTAAGTTTTATAAACAAATCTCACCTTCTGGTATCGCTTGAGTCCCAGCGACGCCAAAAAGCAGAAGAGGATGGCCAGGAGCACCTCGGTCAACATGGCTGCAACTTGGATCAGGCTTATACACTGTATATGCTATTCAACTGACTGATATATGTTGATAGATACTTTCGAAGTGAACTAATGTTTCTTTATATATACTTTTTAGCACACCAATATTTGTTTGTAATGAGAAGCGTGGACCTGCAAACCGGAAATTGTATCATAACAAATTTGTATAAAGAAATATGAAGACGAAATGGTAACTCTTGAACCAGTATAGTTTGATGACAATGCGTAGTATGGGGGCTCATTAGGTATTTGAAAATACCTCAATTGTTGTTAATATTGTCATTATATTGTTGTTATTAATATTTTCGTTTGATGTGCGTGAAATGATGCGTGGTGCGTTATGGATGTAATCACTACAAACCGTCATCCATCAGTAGGAACCGCCTTCATCGTCCAAAATTTATCATTGAATTGATAAACTTTTCCCTGAACAAACTGGATGAGAATGACCTACATTAAAGCAAAAAATAAATCACTATTTGTATAAAATATGATTCATTTATTGATTTATTCATCTGAGCGGCGCAGTTTATTGCACTGTAATGTGCCACGGATGCTTACACTCAGGGGAAGGAATGGCTCATATGGTCAAAATAGTGAAATACTTTCTGACCCAAAGCACGAGCAGTGAGCAGACGTAGCACTGATACGTATTTTTCTTGAACAACCTGGACTCGATGACTCACTCGAAGGCATAAGTGCATCGCTATATGGACAAAGTCTCGCACATTTCTCTGAGTGTAGCCGCATTACAGGATTTACAAACCAGAGTTTGATGTTACAAGATGTTTTTCTGACACACAATCGTCATTAACTTTAGAACGTCATTAACTATTTAACGAATCATAACTTTGAACGTCGACAACGCAATTAATTAAAGTTAATTCTGCGTGATTCATCTTCTGTCTGCACAACACTTGTGGAACACACACCCTATATTTCTCGTAAACACCGATTTCCACGTACTCTAGATCTACTTCATAAAGTTGTGTATTAGGCATTCATAATTTAGTGAATACTATACACTGAGCAACATATTTTAATAATGTTTAAGTTGGAGATTTAAGCCCCTAGGAGATGTCAGACAAGAATTAGCAACACACTCTCACGTCGGCGGCTGGTCGCCAAGTGACCTCGAGCGACACTTGAGGCCTCAGGCTGCAGTGCCACTGCAAGAGCGACCTTGATTACATAAATGCGTTATAAACCTAATATACTGATACTGACCCTGCATATTGCAGCGCCCAAAACTTCATTTACAATATTCAGTTTGTGGTCTAAAGAGAAATAGTTAATATAAACGCGGATCAGTCAGATTTTTCCAATCATTTATTATGTAAAACAAATGAAATGCATTGACGAGAAGAATATTAGGTCAATCATATTTTGAGGATCTGTATTTCAATTGAAGTTAGCAATACAAAATCATAATGACTTTTTGACGACACAAGCATGTTTTGTAAAAATAGGTACTACATGTTTTGACATAGCCTCTTTGCACATGAAGGTCCCCGAAGGATTACGAGAATTTGAAACAAGAACCAACACCAGGGGCCATGTCAATAAACTAAAAAAAAACTGCGCTGCAACTTCTCCACGTGACAAAATTTCTTCTCGCTTTGAATCACCGACATGTGGAACAGCCTCCCCGATGACTGATCCGTCACGACATCCCGTACACCGGGCGTGATATTTCTCCCCTCCTGCGTGGCGATGCCACGTACCATGGAGGCCATAGCCATCTCCACTCCGCGCAATGGCTCCCCTCTCTGTATTATTAATATATACATCTCACCAGCCACCTCCTGCCCCCCGGGATACTCCCCGGACCTCTCTGACATCGTCACCATCCCGGACAATTGTCTGATGGTGGGCGACTTCAACGCCCATCACCCCTACTGGTTCTCCCACATCGAGGACCAGAGAGCAGCAGCGAGAGGGATCACCATCGACGACGTCATCTCTGGCTCACCCTTAGCCTTCCTCAACGAGGATTCGCCGACCCGCCTCCCCTCCCACGGTCCGCCCTCCTCACCTGACCTGGCCATCATCACCGGGCAGCTACTACTCAGCACCTCATGGGCTCCTCAAGTCGCACTAAATTCATACCATTTGCCCATCCTGCTTCATCTACCTCCCGCCGTGGAGTCCCCGGCTCCCCGGCCTGCCCGCTCTTATACTAACTTTAAGAAAGCGGACTGGCATGCCTACACGGCAGCAGTTGAAGCAGCGCTCGAGGCTGTCCCTCCCCCCACCTCGTGCGGAGGCGAGTCGACCCTTAGGGGCGTCCTGGCGGCTGCTGCCAAGCAGCACATCCCTGCGGGCTTCCGAAAGGAGTTCTCCCCTGCAGTCAGCCCTGGCACCCGGTTGCTCATGGAGCAACGGGATGACATCAGGGCGCACAACCCTAACGCCCCCCGGCTCCCCGAACTCAACTTAGAAATCACCACTTCAATACAAGCCCATGCCAGGAATACCTGGCGGACACATCTCGCCTCGTTCAACAGGCGAACTCACCAGGCAAAACACTGGAACCTCCTCCGCTCACTATCCGGAAAACTTAGATGCCCTCCATCCAACCAGCCAATCCAATTTGGTCAGACCTCCCTCTCGTCGCAGCGCAAGATCTCCACCGCCTTCTGCAAACTATTCACCTCCATTGCTCCGCACTCCCAAAACCCATCCACCCGCCGCCTTATGCGTCGAATTTGGGCTGAGCACCCCCTGGACAGGGACTTCGCCCCTTTCACCCCTAACATGGTGAAACTCGCCATCAGAGCTGCTAACAATTCTTCCGCTCGGGGTCCGGATGGCCTCACGGTTCTCCACCTCAAACACCTTGGCCCACGTGGCCTCCAGTTCCTTACCCACATCTTTAATATCTCTGTCGCCACGGCCTCAATTCCATCCATATGGAAAAACTCAATAATTATCCCGTTACTAAAACCCGGTAAACCTGGTAACCAGGGCTCCTCATACCGCCCCATCTCCCTTCTTTGTCCAGCGGTCAAGATCCTGGAACGCCTTCTACTCCCATACATCTCTGGTTCTCTCGTCACGGTTTCCTCGCAACATGGCTTTAAACCAGGTCACTCGACAGTCACCGCCCACCTTCCGCTCGCGCACCAGATTGCGACGGGTTGCAATTCACGCCGTCCCCCAGCACGTACAGTAGCAGCCGCGGTCGACCTATCGAAAGCTTTCGATAGTGTCGACCACCCTCTTCTCCTTAGCATGATCGCGGCCTCAGACCTACATCATAATCTGGTCCACTGGCTGTGCTGTTACCTTAGAGGAAGGATGGCTTCCTGCCTCTATCTGAGAACAAGGTCCCCCTTCAGAACAATCCATTCTGGAGTCCCCCAAGGGTCGGTCATCTCACCAGCCCTTTTCAACTACTTCATCTCGGACATACCTGTCCCGACATCTAACATCGCCTCATATGCAGATGACCTCACATTTTCGTGTCGTCCCCGAGACTCGGCGCCGCGGAGGCTGACCTCTCTGAGCTTCTCCGACGCGTCTCAGACTGGTCGACCGCCAAGAAACTGGCCGTGGCTGCGGGGAAATCCTCAGTCACGCTCTTCACCCCCGACACTCACCAATCCCGTCTTCACCCCTCTGCAACAATCTGCAATGGCATCATCCCATTGGACAAGACCCCCAAAATTTTGGGGGTCACTTGGGATACCCATTTTACGTTCTCTCCACATGTCAGAGCCATAGCCACCAAAGCTATAGGCTCTTTACGCATCTTAAAAACCCTGGCCGGCACCAACTGGGGCTTCTCCAAAGAAGACATCATTGCCACATACCGTACAATTACTCGCCCAATCCTCAATTACGCTGCCCCCATCTGGTACCCAGTCGCCTCACGCACCGCAATTGCAAGCCTCCAAATCATCCAAAACTCAGCCTTGAGACTAGCCACCGGCCGCCTCAAGGTGGCCCCAATCGCCCTCTCCACCATGAGACAGGCGTCCTCCCCGTGTCCGCCCACCTGGACCTGGCCTGTGCTCAATTTCTCGCCAGCGCACTCCAGCCTACTCATGCTTCTTTCAGCATCGTCTCCGCTCCTCCCGGTGACCGCCCCATGAAAGCTTCAATCAAGACAAGATTCGGCCACCTTGTGGCGCCTTTCCTCGTTTACGGCATGATGCCCGACGGTGCCTATGGAGAGGCAAAACGCTCCCTCCGTAGGGAGATAGCCACCCGTGTTGCGGCGACGGCCGTTAACAACGCTGTCGTCACAGCCCCACCACCACCGATCGCAGCAGAAGAAGCCTCGCTCCCTCGCCCTTACCGTTCAGCGCTATCCCAGCTACGCTCGGGATACTGCAGCTCCCTTACGTCCTACACCCACAGGGTCGGACGCTCCCTTAGCGCCGCTTGCCCGGAGTGCGGGGATCCCCTCCAATCCGTCCAGCACCTCTTTGCCTGCCCCGCCTTCCCCACGTCCCTCAGCGTCTCATCATTGTGGGACAACCCCGTGGAAGCGTCGACGTTCCTGGCCACCCTCCCTGCTTTCGCCCATCTGCCCCCTCTCCCGGTGCCTCCCCTCCGACCACCACCAGAGCCTCCGCCCACGCGAGCGTGACGTGGCGCAAGAAACAACAACAACATCTCGGCGCTCCAAGTATGAACGCGTTCAAGAACAGACTAAATAAAGCCATGGAAAAATATATGTTCAGATTTGAAATGTCCAGCACCATATCGAACCTTGTTGAAGTCTAGTAGATATTTCAAACTATCGCCAGTCCTGAAAAGATCCAGTCAAATGACACGATTTTAGATCTTCTGTGAACAAGTCACGAAAAGTAAGAATCGGCGACAGGCCGCATCAGGCCTACACTTCAGCGCCGACATCGTTATGCTATACTATGCTATCGCTATGCTACGCATGATAATCTACAGTTCTCTACCAACGACGGCACACGAATCCTCTTTTCACTGTGATTATATTTTTTAAAAATTATTAGAGTTGATGTTAATTATTTATTCGGGAGGAGCCGGCATAAGAATAAGGACGATTATTCAGGAATTACAATTATGCCATCTTTAACGCTGCCAACCGTCAAGTTTCCTTGATTATTGATATATTAGTAATAGAGGCGATAAGTGTTTGGC